GGATGGATGGATGGATGGATGGATGGATGGATGGATGGATGGATGGATGGATGGACGAACACATACGTGATGTGGTTTCGTATGTGTCTCCTTTCCCACTTGGCAGGGTGATGCTGAGACAGCTGTAAAACGCTTTGGTGACTCGGAGATTGAGTGGTCCCCTCAGGGCATGTTGAGACTGAGCCCAGTGGGCATGCGCAGACTGTTCCTTCCTACTGTGACACATATCAAACAGGCTGTTGGAGACGTACTCAACCACCCTAACGCCCGAGGTAAGATAGGCTTTTATTTAGCACGTTTAACTCTTTAATAACCTGACGGACACATGATATATATATATATATACGGTCGCTTTTAAGGACAAGCGGGCTAACCCAGATTTTGGGGGTTTCCAGAAATGTTGACCTACACCAAAAGTGGGCATTGCCCTACCTTTGGGAGAAGTTTGGTTTCATTGGTGTGTATATTCGTTTGGTTATTGAGAAAACGCTCCTTGTTTTTTAAAGAAACTGAACAAGGGGCAAAAACTTTACCTTCGATTTTCTCAAAACAACATGTTTCGAGATAGCCCACGTGTGCTTTAAAGCGACCATATTATGTACGAACAGCAGCAGACTAAAGGCGATGTTACGGCACATTCCGAATCTTCATACACAAAAAAGCAAAGCAAATTGGATATTTTGTAGTATGCACGTTGTTGCCTGCCTTTTTAAGTTTTAGATAATGAAAACAGAATTGAAAAAAAAAACAATTAGCAAGAATAACGAGGGTAAGCATCGTTTTTAAAAATGCCCCAAAACAGCGCATCCTCTGTGTGTTTAGTGAAGAGATTCTCATCGAATTAATTGCGGTTATTTAGGGTTGAGAAATAGTTTTAGTACAGGTTTTACGGCGCTCGCAACTGCATAGGGTCATATGAGAAATAGAAAGGGAGACATAACAAAAAACAACAACAAAGAGTAAGAAAAGAAGTAGGCCATACCAATTGACCCCTCCAGCCACCCACGAAGTATAACTGCCCAAGATCAGAGGTGTTACAAGAGAGTAACAAACACTAAAAGGAGGAGAGATAAGCACGATAGAAAATGTTTGATAGAAAAGAAGAAGTAATCTAAACCAGAGCACGCGCCAATCAAACACTGCTTTAACCTAAGGTGATGAATTCATAAATGCATTAACAAGTAATAACTAACTTTGTTTTGTTTTGTTCTTTTTTTAAAACAGAACTCAAGTACATGTTCTTGGTCGGTGGCTTCGCGGAGTCTCCACTGCTGCAGCACGAGCTGAGACAGGAGTTTGGACATCTGGTCAATATACTGATCCCACAGGAGGTCAGTCTGGCCATACTGAAAGGTAAGTAGTAGTAGTAGTAGTAGTAATAATAATAATAATAATAATAATAATAATAATAATAATAATAATAATAATAATAATATTGATGATGAAGATGATGATGACGACGACCGCAACGATAATAATAATAATAATAATAATAATAATAATAATAATAATAATAATAATAATTATTATTATTATTATTATTATTATTATTATTATTATTATTATTATTATTATTATTATTATTATTATTATTATCATCATTATTATTATACACATATACACACATATACACACACAAACACCACAACGCTAATCACACATGCATCACACACAGACACACCACACACACAGAGTCGCCCATACCACTCGCACTTTTGGGGGCATTTTCTAAGCAGACTTGGCCTCTATTCTCGACATGAAAACGAAAATCTTATATCATTGTTATAGTCATTGTTCTGCGGGGGAGGGGGGGGAGTTCTTAAAGAAATAAGATGTGTGTCAGAAAATATTATACTATAAAGATAGAAACGAAAGGTATGAGATCATAAAATTGGAACGATCACATTCCAAGCTTTGACAAGAATATTGAGTGATGCATTTTCTTTAAATCAACACAGATTTCAAGCTTTTACAAAAATATCGAGAAGTGCATCATCTTTTTTTAGCCTACACGGACTGGAGCTTCCCTTCAAAATCAAGATCAAATTCATAATATTTATAATATTATTATATTGCATATACCATCTTAATCGCACAACAATATCTCTCGCCAGGTGCTGTCCTGTTCGGTCTTGACCCGTCAGTAGTGCACGTGCGAAGGTCACGACTGTCGTATGGTGTGGGCATTCTGAACCGATTTGACCCCGCGCGTCATCCAGTAGCCAAACGAGTCCGGCGTGACGGGGTCGCCTGGTGCACCGATGTCTTCGACAAGTACGTGCGCACAGACCAGCCGGTGATGCTGGGGAACACTGTTGTCAGGAGCTACACACCGGCCCGGACAGGTGAGTGTGTGTGTGGGGGGGGGGGGGGGGGTGCTCTTGTGGTCTACCCCTATCCTTATGCCGTGTGGTCATTTTGTACCCCTGGGTTGTATTCTTCACATTTTAGAATACTTCTTCTAGTTGGAAAATCTCTTTGAAACTTTCAGTATTTCTCAAAAAAATCATTTTGACAGACTGCTATGCTAAGCGTACGGATCGGATTATCGAGTAAATTTCCACTATGGAAAGTGGTGGCACAGAGTTCCCCACGTCGTATGGATACGATAGTAAAACCAGAGAGGGTTTATTAAAACACGACGCACGGTTGAGGTGAAGGTGTTCACCTCTCATTCAATTGGTCCGGGGTTCGAAACCTGAAAGCGATGGAATTTTTTTTTCTCTAAAATTGTCTCCTTTCTCCTGTTTTCTTACTCTCTGACCATGTTCTGTCGTCTGCTTTCTTCTCCAATTTCTGAATGAACTGTGAGGGTTCTTCCTGAAAACGTCTCTTTTCCTGCCGTCCCTATGCACAGAACCGGCGTCCATGGTGTCGCGGTTTCACGCTTCGCTGTCTCGCGCAGGGAGACCAAAGCACGAGTGCGATTCCCGAGTGGGAAGACAATTATTAAGATCGAGTATCTAGGGTCCTAAGTTATCTAAATTGTGTCGTTGGGGGTGTACATTCATTTTCATTAATCTTTTACGTTTTTGGTGTTTTTTTTCATTTTTCTCACAGGCCAAGTGAGCATTGTGCTCAATATCTACAGCAGCGTCAACCCAAACGTGCGATTTATCACAGACCCTGGGGTCAGTCGGTGCGGTACGCTCTGCCTCACTCTGCCCGCCCTGGAGGAGGTCAACAAAGGTGCTGGGGGTCAAGGTCACAGTGGACCGCGGGAGATCCAGGCCCGCATGTCGTTTGGGGACACGGAGATCAACATAGTTGCTGTGGACCTGGCGTCCGGGAGAGTGGTCAAGGCTAGCGTGGATTTTCTGGGTAGATAGAGTGTGTACATAGTTACAGTTATAGTTATACTACGAAGCTGTATGTGTATTATTTATGATTATAATATGCAATGTTGTTCGTCCGTCCAGGCGAGGACTACATCATTCATCCTGCATCTTGATGGTGAAAGTGAAAGGGCTGGGATTGTTCTTAGTAATTGTATGATATTATATAGATATCTAGATCTATATAGGGTTTTACCATCCTTTCAAGTGGGACCACCGAATTTAACGTCCATCTCCAATACGACCGCGTCAAATTTTCGGAGAGCCTTAATATTACTAAGATTACCACTGTTATGCTTCATTTATTCAAGCTTTCTCAAAAGTAGGCTTAAAAAATCCAACAAACAAACAAAGAACCCTCCACACTGTTATGGGTCGTATATGATATGAGCTTTTCTAAGGGTCTTGTTGACCTGATGGTTATATTTGATTTTATTACCATGTACAAAGATCGTATCTTTAATCTTTACAAAACAAGTTCAGCAATAGGCCTACCCCATTGAAGATTCGAACCAGCGCCACCCGTACCATAGCTCGGATTGATACCAACAAAGCTATCGGCACACTTCGCCAAGGTTGGCCCATGAGTCTAAGAGGTGACAGTTTAGCAAACGAAAAGCATAATTATAGAGACTAGATCTAGACGTTGACAAAACTATTTTCAATTCGAGCTGGAGAGAAGAAGAAAGGACAGAAAGAAAAAGCAGGAGGATACAATGGGTTTGGAAGTAGGAGTGGTGAGACCCCCAAGAGAAACCCTCCAACTGTCTCTAATGAAGATACATTAACTGCTCGTTAGGCCTATATAGTATAGGTCCAAATATCACGTTCTTATGTCATAAATACATTTGGGCAGATAGTGACAGTTTCCATTTCTGAATAGATACAAGTCAGATTTTCTCTCTTTTTGGGGGGGGGGGGGGCTCATATTTTCATTATGTCGCCCATCATAATTTGATATTACAATAAAACGCGTTATGTTGTCACGCAATAAATGTTTTTTTGTATGGCAAGTTGAATTTTACTACTAGAAGCTATACATAATACATGTATTGTACAATGAGTACACTATGCTCTCACTTGAAACATAGCCTAAGTTTTGCAATTGCATGATTTGAAAATCCAAAGAACTGAACAGATATTCATGATGCACTACATGTATGCGTACAATGTACTATGTTCACTACTTCTGTAAAAATAAAAAAATAAAATTTTGTTTAGAAAAAAAAAATAATAATATTTTTAAAATAACAATAAGACTTTTTTTAAAACTTAATTCATTTTAAGATTACTGTTTGTTTCATACAGCCTACATACATGCAGTTGTAAATCAAGTATTTATTAATGTCTTAAAGTTTAAGACAATTCAGTAACCGTAGCCTACTTAGAATACATAGTATTATGCTTCATTTATTCAAACTCTCTTTAAAAAAATAGGCTGAAAAAAAGCACTACAAACGTATTTTTAAAAAACCTCCACACTGATTTGAGTTGTATATGACAACTAAGGGTTGATGACATGATGGTTACATTTGATTTTATTCCCATGTACAAAGATCTTATCTTTTATCGGTATTCAATCACTTATGCTTTTGTACCATTAAAAGTGCTAATTCGGGCTACATATAGAGATTATACTCAGAGATAGTGTCTTTAAAAACGAGGCGCAGACAAAGCAAGCTAGATCTGCATTACAGGCATGGAGTTGCAAACTTTATTTTTAATTTAAGCCTTGCGAGTTCAGAGGATAAGGATGTTGGATCATGTGGAAGAGGGTTGCTCAAATAAACTTACCAGGGGTGGTAACCTTTCTTGGGATACGTGTAGCCTAAATAAGGTCGGTCACCAATGTACTAATGTCGCGTACACATGCATGCTACATGGAATTTACCTCTGATTTGCAATATTGGAGAGTTTACGTATTAATATAGACAGCTTAATTGGACTGGCTACTTTTCTCCGTGTTGTTCTGAAAATGCATTTAATGTTTGTATGGTTCAAAATGTATGTAGGCTACTAGGTCTACTAATGAAAGCTTTTTGTATAAATAGATAGCATAAACACAAGTTGACGCTGACAAATAGACTCAAGCTATGGTTATTTTCTTTTGGGTTTTTTTTCGTGAAGTAATGGCTGCATGTTGGCAAGCACTAAACTACACAATACATTCTAGCATACACATTGCAAACAGATTTTTAGGTCCAAAATATTTTCCTACACAATATGTTACTCTTTGTATCAAAAACACGTACATAGCGAAATGCGTACATAACGAAAACTGTTCCGCTTCTCGATGATTTCGCTTTGTGTACGCTTAACTGTATTTTTACATGTATGTATAAGCTTAACTCAACAATTGACTTGACTGACTCCATCCATTCATCAACTGTAACTGATTTGGTAGATCTAGAGCTTTCCGTGTGTTTCAGTACAACTGTATTTGGGTGAAGATAGCACTATAATAGCAGGGTTGTCTATCGTAAAGGCTTTGGTTTCTAAGACTCATTCTGTGCCATTTACTTTTATACCCGGTGCCCTTTGGCAAGATCGGTTCGATTCGGTTCGGTTCTGTCGTCGGGGCTTGACAGATTTTCCTCCATGGAAGAAGAAAAGCTGGCATCCTGGCACAAAACGAACGAAACCGGCGATGACATTCAAGAACAAACGTGTTTGTTTTCAAGGCCGCAAGTCGGGAGATCGTTTGAGGCAGGGGTTTATATAAATAGGTGTGCACTGAAGGCGCTAGAAATGGAACCGAACCGATCCTCCAGTAGACACCGTCTATAGATTTCTAAAGTCTGTATTGTTATACAAATGTACTTTAGCAGCTGAAATTAGTTTCGAGTTATTTTAAAATCTAATTTTCGCCATTTTACTTTTTTAACTTTTGTATATTTGTATAATCATTTGCATGATTATTTTCTACATCATCCATCTGAACTGCCTTGAAACTGTCTTAAGATGTTTCTCCCGATTTGACTATGATATTCTGAAAATACTACAATAGATACTTTTTTTTCTTTCACGACAATAATTTGTTATTGCACAGGACAAAATATTTAAATTGAAAAATTCAACAACTGGCCCTTTGGGAATATCTATTTACCTGTTTGTTATGGTTCTTCTCTTGCTCCAGATGCAAATATGTAGCCTCTAAATTAACTAGCGCTGTACGTGATAAATAAATAATAGGTATAATAATCACATGTGTAAAACAGTCATAAAAACTAGTACTACTATACTATTATAGTGACACCCCCTCCACTTTTTTTTTCTTGAAAAAAAAGAAAGAAAGAAAGGTTCAACACCAGTGGTGATGCTCTTTTCCAAGAGTGATGCAGGAGAGATGGCATTCTTTAATCACATATACCCTGCCTACAACTTGTGCAGCTAGCTTTTCTTGTACTATTGTGAAGCAGCATAATAAAATACATCGTGTGTGTATGTAAATTATTTCCATTAAACTTAAACTCTAAATGGTGAATTCTTGGATTTTTACAGGGTTTTTTTTTTCACAATGCACACAATCATACATTGCTGAGTACAGTCTGAGTTGGAGCGACTGACTCAGAGTTGTGATTGCTGAAGCGAGTTTGTTAGTGGCCTCTGCTCCATGAAGGGGCCCAAGGGATAAGATAACGAAAACGTGTTGTAAACTCGGTATCCTTTCCATATCCCACATAGGCTACTTTCGTTATCCTTATATTATACATGTATTACTAAGAATGAAGCTCTTCCTCTATAAAAATAAACGAGAATACAAAGTCTATTTATAACCACAGCAAGGCATAATCAAATGCTATACCATTATCAAATCCGCTTTATACATGATGTATGTCATGTGTATAGTAAAAATAAAATCACACAAAAATATGTATTACTTATTACACGTAATGTGTTGATTTGTAGTTATTATAAATTTTACCTGAACTCCGTCATTTCTATATATTGCTTCTTGTCTATCATTCATTTATGTAATACAACTTATGTAACATATATATGCCTTTCGGCAATATATTCTGCGGATGTGCTCCTACATATTTTGAACCTCGTCTAAATTATTAAATGAGATTTTTAGTTTTCTCGGTTTTTGATGAATTATTTTTCACTGAAGGGAGAAGTGGACAGTTACGGGCATTGTTGATGTAAGTGTTATCTTTGTGTTGATCTTGCACTTGCACTATCGATGTGTAAAAGGCTAGACTATCACATATCGTTTAACGCAAACAGAACAGTGGGAAGAGGTTAGAAACATAATTTGTATTCTAAAAAATGTTTTAAAAAATCCAGAGCATATTTTGGGACATACGCGGTTAATGTATAGACTAATCTCACCGATTCGCATGCACATACTGTACTACTAGGCTCACAAGACATACCATACGGTATGAGAAAGCTTGTGAAACTAACTAAGCTGTCCATAATTTTTTCACCGGTCTATTATGTTTTCAGTTTACCCTTAAGTTATAACAAGCTTCTCTTTTCTTCTTAGTTACAAGAAGCTTAGAGTTAAAGTAGGAACGCCTTTTGAAAACGTGCATTTCTATTTAGCTTTGTTGAACATTCATTATTACTTTATGTACGTATCAACATCTATTACATCAGGAACCTTTAAAACTCTCACCATGTAGTTAATTCAGTACCCTTGTATTTATTTTACTCCTTTCACAGTTCTCTTGATATTAATAAACATTACTGACTTTGAATGTTTGTTGGCTGTGTGTACTTTTTTATAATTGAGGGAAGTAACCTTTCAAAACAGTACAGATATATAGGTAACAAATATCTATACAACCCGTGCCCTTCGTTGTCCTGCTAAAGAAGTAAATGTGTTTTGGTTTTTTAAGTTAAAGGAAAATGTGAAAGACAAAGATCAAGTAGATGCCGCGTCTCTTATGCAACTAAAAATTGAGAAGAGAAAAGAAAATTCACGAATGAACAAGCTGCTCTTTTTGTTTGGCCACCTGTTGTACATCAGTACATCCAAACTGCATGACTTGCCATACAGTCGAAATTGTCAAACATAGTCGAGGAGATTAGTGGTCGTTTTTGACAGGTGGCCGTCTTGCGCAGTGTCATTACAATGTAAGAAAACGCAAGGAGGAGTGGGAAGTGGCCGGCTGTACAGGTAGTTGTCTTATACTTACAGGAGCCCATTTGAGCAAGTTCGACAGCAGTATTAGAGAAGACGAGAAAGGAGAAGAATCACGCTGCCACGCACTGGTAAAATACAGGGTGATCCAAAAAAAAACAACTGAACCACTTTTTTTTCTAAATATCTCGCACAAAAATTGTTCTAGCATGCTGTAATTTGGAATAGACATAATTCGTTCAAAAGGAATTTCTTTGCCATATAATCCACAAATAAGAAACTTATTTTGAAAACGGAAAAGGCTTTAAGAAAAAAAGTACTCAAAACGCAAAGTTCATCTATCATCTATTCTTTTTTAATCTTGTAAAAGAAAGGAAAAGATTGGTTGACTTTTTTCTTTATTTTCTCTTTGACATTTAATTTTCCACCCGGGTAACATTTAAACAATATTTAATTTCTTTTACAGCGTTAAAAAAAAAAAAATTAAAGATTTCATTTTGAAATTCCTAGAAGCAGTGCTGTACATGCCCTCCTTTGGACTCTACATTTTTAACGCGTCTTTCGAAATAAATGTTCAATGGTGCCCAAACAAAAGGACCTGCCAAACCATGAGTGTTTAAAGCCACATACACTGTACATTCAGTATGAAGTGGCTTCTAGAGACAATAGGGAGTGGGGTGCCCAATAGACTGCATTTTTGGAGTTAACATATCCCCCAGAGTGAAAACGCGCTTTGCACTAAACCAAATGCCATCAAGGAAATGATCTCGCTTTTCAAGACAATCGAGGAGTCGTGAACACATTGCCATGCTCTGTTTCATGTCATCTCGGCCTAGCGAAGATGAAAATGGTACTCGTAGGTTAAGATCTGCCATGAGAATGCAGACTGTTGAGGTGTAAGAAAGTCCTAGCTGCAGATCGTCTACAGACAGACGTTTCATGGGACTCGACTGCCGTACTGAATGAAATATGCACCCTGGTGACGTTTAAAGGGCTGCACATGGTGTCTGTTCGACCTGAAGTAGTCATTAAATCTATAAATAATAAATATGACCTTGAATAGAAGTCAAGATATAAAAATTTGTGATTGAAGGAGATGGGGGTCACTTGATGTCAGATGTAACATTAGTGTGAAAATGACCGCCAAAGTTTTCTGAATTCCAAAGCTGTAGTATCACAATGGAAACTGTTGATTTACATTTTTTGGTGCCTTTGGTCAACGTTTTTCAGTTTTAAAAAAATATACACAAAAATATGTTTTTAATGGACATAGAAATTTTTCAGTCGAAAACAAAAAAGTTGATATAAATAATAAATTAAATAGCCCAAACGGGTGGAGAAACGTTGGTTTCTTTGATTTCATGGTTTTGACGCTTACCTGGCTTCACCACAAAGCCACACAATTATGTTGTGAATACATTACTACATGTATTAGGAACTATACTATGAGTCTGAGTGTCGCCCATCCTCCCACCCAACCAGTACCAGAGATGCGTCTCGTTTGTAAGAGCGAAAATGTTCTTATTGTCCTAAATGCACCCGCAAGCCGTCAGCACGCTGTTAAAATGAATTAAGCCCAGAAAGTACAATTTAACAGGAAAGAGTGAAAAAAACGTATTCATTCTTTAACTTTATACAGTTGTTCTTGAGCCCACACTATGTTGTTTTGTTGTTGTTTTTTTGCTTTCTTTTCAGCATTTAGAATTTCAATTTCAACAAAATATAATTTCTTGAGCACATCCAGCCAATACATTCAGAAACTGCAATAAAAACTTTCCTCAAATTTCCGGACTTAGTACATTTTAACAGCTGGTCAAAGAGGGGCTTTATCTTTTGTTTTAGTAAGAGTTTTACGGCACTTGCAACACAATAAGGTCATAAGTGCCGAAGATTAGAGGTGTTACAAGAGAGTAAAAAAAAAAAAGAGCGGCGATAAAGACGATAGATATTTTTATAGGAAAGAATGAGCAAACCACACCAGACCACCCGCCAACCACCCACAGGGGCTTTATCATTTATCTGATCCTATCACACATAGTCAAAAGGGTGGAGGACTATGAAAATTAGAAGAAAGTGTTATATCAGAAAAATGCGAACAGAGGTCACACACGCAGCAATGCATCCTATCACATCAGATTCATCGTATGAGAATAGTCAGTTATAATTTGAACTTCATATTCTGTTTACACATGTTCTTACACCCAATTCTCTTTTGATTGGGGACATTCCTCTCCCTTGCTTCTTTCAACCATATACATATTGTGCATCGGGCATGGGCACGAACGTCCAAGTCGTGGGCCAAATTAATTAAGCGATTCCAAATATCGTGGGCCACAGCAGGAGAAAACCTCCAGCGCTAATAAGTGAGACTAAAACTACAACTGTGACTATAGTAGCCTGCATGTCATGATGTCGCTCAAGGAAATTTCATATGAGATAAGGTATTAAACTTAAACAGATTGCTTCTAGCTGAGCCGGATGTTTTAAATTTCACAACGTACAGTTGTGTTTAGATGAAATCAACTCACCGCAAGCCACATTCTTTATCAACTACTTGGTGGACTTGCAGGCTAGATCTGGAGAAAGCTGAAGTTTGCCAATATCTGCTGTACACTGTACAGAGACTGTGCAATGTGTAGAAGCTTTGACATCAGATGCACAATGCAGTAGAAGACCTTGATACATATATGACCTAAGGTCCAGAATTTAACAATTTTTTTTGGTCCAAAAAAAATTTGAATTTAAATTTAAATATCACATGAAGTCAGGTTCCCCGAAAGCAACTTTGCTTCGTTTGATACACTGATTCTGAAAATAAAATCAATCTTTGACTGTGCATGTAATCGACACAATTTATATCATTTTTAGGAGGGAGGCTTCCGACTCTGTCTGTCAGGGCCAACCCAAACTGACAGGGATACAATATCCCAGCAGTCAGACCAAGATAAAGTACTCAGTGTTCCATAAAAAATTCTCCCCACTCACTGACTCAGGTCTCATGCTTGCAACAACGAAGAGCTTAACTACTAGACCACAGATGACCGTCTGCCCCTCATAAAGCTTGACACAGTTTTATGGTAACAAAGAGCAAAGCTCATGAGCACAGATGTATATAATTTGGCAGTATGCTTTAGCTATAGTACAATGTAAGTATTTTACAGCACTTGCAACACAATAAGGTCATATAAGAGCCAAAGATTAGAGGTGTTACAAGAGAGTAACATACACAAAAAAGAAAGAGTGGAGAAAAGGACGATAGATGTTAGATAGGAAACAAGGAGCAAACCACACCAGAGCACCCGCCAACCACCCACTTTTGCAGTATTACACACTATTCCGAGACAAAAAAAGCTGTTTGTCTCTGCATAAAGTGTAAAGAAAAGCACTACGACACAACACCAGCCATTTAAATTAAGTGCAGGAAAAGAGTAAGAAGGATAGAGAATTGAGACAGACAGAAATAAGAGAGGGAAAGAAAAGATTTTATGCCCTGCTCGTGGCACCCTCGAACCAACAGTAAAAAAAGTAAGAATTGTAGATGATGAAATAATACACGACAAGATGTTAATAAGACTATCATACTCCATTCTTTATTACACTTGTGCAAATGAGACATACTCAGAAGGAAAAAAAATGACAATTATGACAGATGAGAGTAGACAGTATGAGACTAGACTTACAACAATAATTTAATCAATGATGTACTTTCACAGCACACCTTTTCATACTTTCATTTCCACTGATCATTCTGTAAGTCAAAGTAACTGACAACATATATGTGACTGTTCAAAAATTGTAAGAAACCGAAGTATCCATGACTTATCAGTACATTAAACTGCAAATGCTTACTAGGACTATCATATCATCTCCACAATGGACACGTAAGTTCATATTACCAAAATGCAGTGTGCAACGGGGCAAGAGGTCTTCTTTCTTAGAGATTTACAGCCAAAGTTCTTTATTTTTCTTGAACCAAAACCAAAATTCTCTTGGAAAACATTCCTAATCAAAATCATTTCAAAGGTGTAATTGTTTGAGTACCCACAAGCCATACTGAATTGCAGTTCTGAGGACCAGGAAGACAACAGAGAGAAATTCAAGATAGCAAGACAAACTTGAAGCTTTCTTTGACTCGCACACAACAGCAAGCAGTCTTAAAGGATACCACAAAAACAACAACAATTCATGAACACATCTCTACTAATAAATCATTGCTGCATAATTTCAAAAGGCTAAGAATTTAAGATCCAATGCAGATATTTGCTTTTGGTGAGTACAAAAGTGGTTAAAAAAGAAAGTAGCTAAATGCGCCTGTTTTTAACTGGTGCCTGCTGTGGCTATTCCAGCTGTATAAATTTCTACTTGCACGGAAACCTGATTTGAGACCCAGAGAAGTACATTATACTACAAAACAAAATTATATCTGATTATGCAACAAATACATAGACAATCCCTTTCATACACAAGTTTATATAATACACAAATGTGTCAGGATACGGTGGAACCAAACGCTCATCAATTTTTGGGCATATACAGAGTTATTGGTATTATCTTATATTTTGTTCAGTTGCCATGCTTTTGGTAAAAAAAAAAAAAGTACCCATCTCTATCTTCAATGGAAGTCAAAATATTTGCAATTGAAGGAGTTGGGGGTCGCTTGGTTTCAGAGGTAAAATTGGCAAGCAAATAGCAGCCAGTTTTATGACTTCCAAAACTTTAGTTTCCTTGAAACCGTAAATTTATATTTTCTGTGCCCTTAAAGCAATGTTTTTCAGTAAAATCAAAAGAGCAATGTATTTATAGATAGACATAAAATAAAAGGTTTCGGGCCAAAACATAAAAATTCCCAAAAAATTGCCAAAACGGGAAGAAAATGTCGGGTTTTTTATTTCATTATTTTGACAAGCGCTTGATTTCACCACGACGCCTCACAAATATACACTGGCTATGGATAAATTTACAAAACACAAAAGTTCTGACTATCACAACATATCATATACAGGAATGATCAATGCGTCTGAAAATAATGTACATTAAAGTTTTGACACCCAACCACAAACCTATCAATTCCAAACCCTTAACTGCTCCTTTTTCTTTTTTTTCATTTCACTATCCCAACCAAATGAAAGTAAATCCAAGATGACAAGTCTATTTCCTTCATGTTCCCATCACAGATTTCAATTTGGTCCTCAGGCACATCATTCTGAAAAGAAAAATGGAAAAGCTCAGTCAGGCTACCAAGAAAAAGAGATGACAAATTTACAGTTTAGTTTTTGCTTCAGAAAGACAAGCAAATCAAACAGAAGTAACAAAGTAACAGCGTTCTAAAAAAAATTGAAGTGACAAACTGTATAACAAGACACAAACAGATGAGGGGAAAGTTTTTTACTATTTCTCCAGATTGTTGGCTACAACACCCAATGAAACATTATAAAGGGGAGCACTTTCTGCATTCTTTCTCAAACAAGACACTACACAGTTTAAGCTGACATACACCACAGAAGAAGAGTTCAGTTTTGATCGCTGTTGTTTCAAAACAAGAAAACATGCATGCATAGTACCATTATAATCTTTCTCACTCTACTTCATTAAAATATTTTTAAAAAGAAGGAAATTGTAACTGAAGATGCCTAAGTAATTCATACAAAGTCACTAAATTTGTTTGCATATTAATTCAGTTTATAATTGGTTGCTTTTAAAATTGAGCAGAAGAACCCTGGTCTGATAAATGGATTTCTATTTTCACATTGTAAAGCATACATTTGTGTTAGAAAATGTGAAAAATCAGAGTGAAAGTATATTTTCAAAAGAGGTAAGGTAAGGGAAGACCAAAACGTCTTTCTTTTCAGCTGCCTAACAGATACCTCTAAAAAAGTATCTAGTAAAAGATCATGAATGCCTTAAAAGAATTGCAAAAGTGCACGTCTGGAAAATCCATCTCACAAAACATCTATGTTATTTTAATCTTAAGCTTTAGGAGGGTGTAAGCAAAATTGCCTTATACAAATTAAACACAATATATTACTGGATTCAAAGTTTGCTCCGGAATTCTCCATTCATAGAAGAATCTTATTAAATAGCTGACCTAAATAGGAAAAAAGTTTTTAAAAAAGAGAAGAAAACAAATCTAAAATATGAAAAAAAAATAACCTGAGTTCCATTCCATTTGAATCATCCTTATAAGTCCTACATCCAGCTCTGGTCCTATGAGTGGGTTCAGCTGAGAGATGAATGTAGTCAACCAGCTAAAACATGGAAGAAAAGAGAAGAGACATCAGGAAATTAGTTGCCTGTGGACTTCAAAAAAGTTGGGAGAGTTTTTTTGTTTAGAGAGAAGGCTTAAATAGCATTGACTGTCAACTTCATTGAGTTGGGGATGCTATGCTTACAACAAATTTCTCTTTTGGAAAGCATGTTTTTCCCATCTAGCTCTTTCCGTTTCAGTATTTGCAATTTGAACTGAGGACGGTAAAGATTGTGCTTTCTCTTCAACATTGTCAGCTCACTTAATATGCCAAACAATCACAAAGGACAGATGTACAGCAAACTGTGCTGGTGTTTTCTAGTTACTGTGAACTACTGTTTTATCTTATGTGAATGAAGTATTATGCTCAGTGATCATGTGATCTATGAAAAGCGCTCAGAGCTTATACTCAGGATAGAGCGGTAAGAGCGCTATGTAAATCTATTATCATTATTATTACTGCGCTTTGAACATGGCTGGAGAAGTCTGAGAGCCTAATGACACTGACGTCATGAAACACACCACGTGCTATGACACGCTCATGTGCAGGCCTTGTCTTTGTAAACTAGCTTCGCAGAGGTAACAGGCCATAACCAATCGAAGGCCACAAGACAGACTTACAATCACACAGTATACTACTATTGATGTGTGTAATAACATTGACAAACTGCACACTGGTGAAGCCTCTCTTTGGCCAACAATGGACACACATGCTTCATTCTTCTGGTTCGCTCTCTCAAAACACATAAGACACTTTACAGTACTTTACTTGATAGGTGCAGTGAAGATTCAGACGACTTGACCCTTAAATTCTTTTCCAACATGTAGGTGCACTTTTATTTTACCAATATATTTTACATGAGATAAGAAAAAAAATCCTGGATTCCATTTTCGGGACGCGTGAAGACATGGGATTTAACGTTACTTTTACAAGCATTCACTTATGTTAACATAAAGAACCATAGAGATCATAGCAAAGAGTGGGTGAGTGGATCTTGTCTAATTCAGCCTTTCTGATGCAAGTGATGACATTGGGGCATCTGAGAAACAAACATAAAATTTCAATTTGTAATAGTTACAAAAGAAATATTACTTACAAAATGTAGCAGCACACAGCTGTTAGCACCAGGCAGATCTGGACTATTCTGAAACAAAATAAACAATAAAATTAAGAGAATAAAACAGTGCATTTAGGTGATATATTTTTATACATTAGACTTAGTCAAAACTGAGCAGACGCAAACAAAATCTAATTCAAAGACTTACAATGACAGTGTATTTCATGCTATGAAATGCAGTCTCAATGACTATATATGTGACGCATCATGGTGAAATCAGGCGCTCGTCAAAATAACAAAATCAAATTTTTCAGCCAGTTCGGCAATATTTGTCGAATTTTCCTCTTTTTGCTCAACACCTTGTAAGTCCAAAGCATGGAAATTACTACACAATTAGGCTTAGTACATGGTATGTGTCCATTAAAAACAATCATATATTTTTGGGACAATTATTTGCGACAGAAATGAAGTCAATTATATGAAATTCATATTCAGTGCATCAATAGAAAATGGATACATAGGTAAATTTTTAGTCACTCCCACACACAGATGCACAGCTTTGAGGACCAAACTGCAGTTTATTATTATTAGCTGCAGATATCACACATAAAACTGTCGCAAATCAATTGTTTTCAAGAAAATTTCACACCTAACTACAAAACATCAAATTATAAGTTAAGGCACAAGGCATGCCCCCTCAAACCCATCCCTCCCGGATCGGTCCAAAGCGCGGAAATGGCTACGCAATTAGGCTTCGTGTGATAAAGTTCCATCATAAAACATCAAATATTTTTCAAACTATTAATTTGCAACGGAAATGAAGTGCTCAGCGTATCAATAGTAGAAGATGGACACATAATACCTAAATATGAAACGGGAGGGAAAATAAAAGAATATCAACACATATAGTAGCTTAGTGTGACACAGGAGGGGAAGTAAAAGAATACCGGATCAACATATACAATGTGCTCAAAATGTGCATTGTTTCTTGAGGAACAATAAACGCATCGCACTAGCAGGACTGCATTGTGTCACGTCATGAATGAGAAAGCCAAGACTTAACACTTTGCGGTCACTAGCCGCAATAAATAATGCGATGGTGAAAATTATCTGTTCCGATCACCTGGCCCATTTCTGTGCCAGGCCCGAGAAGTCCGTTGCAGTCACTCTCCAGGCTGGGTGACCAGGTGAGGTATTTTGTACTGTTGGCTAGATGACTGCAAAGTATTAAAAGCATCATCACTGGCTCAGAAGGCTTGCTCGTTCATAACGTCACTAATGAGCAGCAAAGAATGAAGGGAATGTATACCGACCCGGTAATCAGGAACAAAGTCACGAGGTATACAGACACGGTAGGGGAAATCTTTTGTGACTTCGGAAAGTTTCAGCGCCTTCTTGGCTCAGGGTAGACCTAGGTCCTTCTAGATCTAAGGCCTAGGTCTAGAAGACAGACATAAAAATCATTGATCTAGTTTCAAGGCCTAAATCTAAACGAAGATTGCGAATGTCTTTTCGATGAACGATCGTTTTTCCTCCGTTTTGGAGTTGGAGGAATCAATTTGACAATTTGAAGAAAAAAAAAAACAATGTCATAATTTCAATCAAGCAGTCACCCTCTCTATTTCTCTCCATCTCTCTCCGCTCTTTTTCTGCCCCCACACTCTCTCTCTCCTCTGTGTGTCACTCGCCTTCTCTTTCTCTTCGTTTGTCTCTGTCTTTCTTTCTCCCCCTCCTACTTTCCTACTCTATCTTTCTCTTGTTCCCTCCTGTCGACTGGCGCATGTGTGATATTTGCTAGCACTTCCCCTCTCTCTCTTTCCCTCACACCCCCGTCCTCCGATTTATGTTCCCCGACATGAATTTCTGCTTGAGTTTGTGTGCGTTTGTGACCTTCTAGATCTATACTTCTTCTAGAATTGCCTGTGTTGGTTCTACACCAAAGTGTAGGCTAAGGCTAGCCTAGATCTAGAGGCCTACGGTCTCATTGAAAACACGCCAA